TCGACGTAAATTCAAAAGCAAATCTGGATGTGATTGTACCAACATAATTGATTTAGGAAATCCCTTTGTGCTGAGCTCACAGTTCACACACACATTCGCACACCTGGCTTTGTATTTGGTAAAACATTGGCTAGAAGCTGGAAGCAACAACGGGGACCGGGGTAGACAGAAAGGTACATATAAAACGTCTATTAAAAACGTAGATGGTATTGTCGTTTAATTTTTCATTTGTATTTTAAAAAGATATGAATATCGTCGTTTTGAAACCTATGCCTATAACTATGCTTTTGGTTGGAAGATCTCATCACTAATATTTATCGTGTCCTGTTTATCTATGTATTTACTTACCGAAGAACTATGTAAAGGTATTGCTAAATAAATTGTGCTTAATGTACGTACTCGTATCTACGCTAGTACATATTCGGTTTTCCTATTTTCTAGGATTAAGGTATGAAACAAGCGATGTTTCAACTTGTTACAACAAATTAATATAGATACAAAGCGTGGTATGTTAGTTATAACAGTCACAGTCAATTAATGAAGTTCTGATTCAATTCGTTGAGGGTTCCAATCCAAGACAGTTTAGCCATCTCCCGGGACTTACCTCTATTGCTTGAATTTCATTAAGGCCCTTTGGATCCAGGAGATATCAAATAAGTTATGGACATAATATTATAGCATGTCGATCTAGGTGTGGTTTCATCATCATCATTTTCAGCCATAGGACGTCCATTGCTGAACATAGGCCTCCCCCAATGATTGAATGATGGTGTAGTTTACTTCTTTAAATTCTGATGAAGTGGTTAACTATGCGTTTGGGGTGGAGTTGTGGTAAATGGTTCAACCCACGCTTTCAAAAAAACACTTTTAAACGGATCTATTAAAAATCCTGCATAATCAAGGTATTAAAACAAAATGTACATCTACTAAAGAAAATCGAACACTACCACAGAATACCAAACCATAAAATCGATTCTAATTATATCTCCACAAATTAGTCAAAACTAGCCAGTTCGAAAATTACCATCAGCCTTTACGCGTCTCATCAATTCCGCCACAGCAAACATTCACGTATGATCTACCAAAACAGATTAGGGGTATTTTCGTTTCGCTTATTCGAACTAATTACCAGAATTCCGCTCGACATGGCTCGTATGAGTCATCCCTTCGCGTAATTTTGTTTCGAGTGTTCCCGAAAGGGGTCGCTCTACGTTACCCTTGATATGATATTAAAATTTAGATTTATGGAAATGCCCATTGATGTCTCTGTACAATTAAATGGGTTTATATCTGAAGTGGAGCAAATTAATTAATGAAAGGATTGTCGAAAGCTCAGTTTCATTTTGTATTCTCTTTGCTTAAGTGAGCGGAGTTAGATATAACTTTGTGTCAACAAAATTTGTGTCTTTATTTACAGAGACATTAATACAAAATTAACGCAGCGTGGGACGTCCACCTACAAGGTGGACTGACGACATCGTAAAGGTAACAGGAAAGCGCTGGACGCAGGCCGCTACCAATCAATCAACATGGAAAGCATTGGGGGAGGCCTATGTTCAGCAGTGGACGTCCTATGGCTGAAATGATGATGATGATGTTAATGATTCAAAATGAGGAAAAGATATGATATTCTGTCTCTATATTTATGATTGCTCTAGTTAATGAGGGTTTAATGACATCAATTAATTATGCAAAGTGGGTAGCTACCGCGCTAGTGCCCAAGCGAAACGGGATTTGCAGCCGAAACCAAAACATATTTATACTATAGTTAATTATGATTTATGTTGAAATCTTCTAGTTGAAATTGACCGATACCGAATCTTGGGTGGATTATTATTAGCGCCTTAACAATATGTAATGTCATCAATTAATTATGCAAAGTGGGTAGCTACCGCGCTAGTGCCCAAGCGAAACGGGATTTGCAGCCGAAACCAAAACATATTTATACTATACTTAATTATGATTTATGTTGAAATCTTCTAGTTGAAATTGACCGAAACCGAATCTTGGGTGGATTATTATTAGCCACAGTTCCAACTACCCATTTCCGTTTTTTCTCTCGATCTCATCAAAAATGTTCATTCTTTGCGATAGAACGAGACGACATTATCGGAAATGGGTAGCTGGAACCTGTGGCCGATAGTATACCTATTGACTACGATACTGAAGGAACTCTCTCATATTAAATCCATCACGCCGTTTATACCACACAAAGTTTTTCTTTATTAAATTATTTAAACAACCACAAACATGAAATTACCCAAATAAAAACTAGGCAGGCACTCACTTACCTAATACCTCATAATAAACAAAATGACTAGGCTTTCTGTTTACACTGCGAACATTATCAACTTTTACGAGGTTGCGAAGTTTGCCTTCCAGGTAATCTCGTAATGACTCGCGGCGGATGTGAAGTCTCACAAATAACTCTAACGAGTCTCAATCACTCAAATCACATTTAGGACTTTTTTAAACTGGAAAATAAACTTTTTCTGATAATCAAATGCTTTCCATGTTGCCCGGTACCCATCAAATGGTTATTTAATGCTAAAAATAAATTTTAAACAAGCTTGTAATATAGGACGTGATTATAACTAAATTCTTCTATCACACCCGATTAAGTCGCAAAGGCGAACTTAACGCCTTATGGCCGGCATTCTCCTTCTTAACCTTTAGGCCACCAAACAGAAAATTATGGTAGGCGGTGTATGAAGATTGACGTTGTAGAGAGAAATATGTATATTAAAAACTTGACGAATTATTCGTCCAAGATTTAAAATCATAATTTCAGCACTCTTTCTTTTGTCTACCTAAGCCCGGCTAAACCATACATGCGAAAACCGCCTATGTACCACACAGTCGCAACTCGCAACCTAATACAATAGCTTGCAGCGCTTTGCCAAGCTAAAAATAACGGGGTTTCGTCGTCGCCGGGGGTGCACTGCGAACGTGTGTCGAGTTATTGTTTCCTTTGCATTGGAAGCTGGACGATTTTTAAATGTCATACGTATGTACGAGTAGGTATAAGAGAAATGTACGAAATTGTAGATCCGCCATTGTGGAATAATTCCTTTGGTGTTGCCCAAATGAAGGTTTTTTTCCGAACGGAGCTAGAACAGTTTAATATCGAATTACCCTTGTTTTCAAATGTTTTAAAATAAAAATATTACTGTAAGACCGCCTGAATTGTGCCGTATCTTTTCAATGTTTTATTTATTTATTTGAAAACTCAACAGCAAAATAACGGGCGTTTCGTCGTCGCCGGGGGTGCACTGCGAACGTTTGTGTCGAGTTATTGTTTCCTTTGCACTGAGAGCTGGACGATTTTTAAATGTCATACGTATGTACGAGTATACGAGGAACGTACGAAATTGTAGATACGCCATTAAATATCATATATACGAGAAACGTGAAAGCGTATACGAAATTGTAGATTGTAGCGTATACGGGATTGTGGAATAATTCATGTCTATATATGGTATTGCCAAAATGAAGGGTTTTTTCCGAATGGAGCTCTAACGGTTGAATATTAAATTACCATTGTTTTATGGTTTCGAATATTTTTAAAATAAAAATATTACTGTATGACCGCCTGAATTGTGCCGTATCTTTTCAATGTTTTATTTATTTATTTGGAAACTCAACAGCAAAATAACGGGCGTTTCGTCGTCGCCGGGGGTGCACTGTGTTTGTGTCGAGTTATTTTTTCCTTTGCACTGGAAACTGGACGATTTTTAAATGTCATATGCAGAGGTATATGAGAAACGGGAAAGCGTATACGAAATTGTAGATTCTAGCGTATACGAGATTGTGGAATAATTCATGTCTATGGTGCTGCCCAAATATAGGGTTTTTCCGAATGGAGTAGAGCTCGAACGGTTGAATATTAAATTACTATTGTTTTCTGCTAAATCATGCCTAAATTGTGTAAATTTCTTTATTTTTACTGTCGTATCTTTTGTAAATTTCTTTTATTTCTCTTTTCTTGTCTTGTGTGGTGTACAATAGTGTGTTTTATCTTTTTGTGTATTCTGGGATTATAATATACCATTTAATTCGGACAAAGAAAAATAAAAATGAAATATTTTTACTCTCTAATTAAAATCATTAACAATTAGACTTATTACTTATTCATTTTAAGAAAAAACTATCGTCAAAAGAATCAGTGAAAATGTTCGCACAAATACCGACCAAAACACAAATATTCGATATCGAACGACAACGTTACCTAACTTTGTTCGTTATGAGATAGCAGATGTTTCGGGGTTGACTTGAAAAACCCTCTTCGGGCTCAGCTGTGTAAAGGGTGCGTTACAAAACTGACGTGTGAAACAAAAGCATTCCAAACCAGGGTTAGGTAGTTTCCGACGTCTGCCTCCACTCCTATTAATGGTTTCACGTATAATTATAATTGTATAGAAACTTGATATTAGGTCCAATTAAGGAAACAATGGTATAGCTGTTACTCAACTGCTTTTGTTGTGCCGGTAAAATATTTTATAGTGAGTTACAAGGTCTTTCAAAGAAGTAAGTTTTAGTGACAAGTACGGCATACGAGCTACAATCATTAAATGTGTCTCAGAGTTGACATTTACCGACGTCCTCGACTCGACCTCGCCTCGAGTGAGGGACATAATAATATGATACGAGTGAAAAGACACATATTATTACTCATCATCATACTACAACGGGAATCTCGTCTCAAGTTCGTTAACACAATGGAAACAAACGAGAGAAAATAAACACAAATCGTCACGCTCCACACACAAACCACGGCGTGATCCATCATTGTTCACATGGAACATAAAAATAAATTACACACTTAGTCGAAATTGACGGGATTGGGATACGGCGGAATGTGGAAGTATAAGGCGCACAATATAAATTACCCGGGGGATTGGAAGTAAAAAATCGCCGTCTTTAATGACTCGGAAAAACCCGCCGGCCGAAGTCACGTACGGCTCATTAAAAATAGGTTATATAACGCAAAAAATACTTACAGAAAGCAGTTGAAGGTTCTTGTTTATCACGGTTAACGAAATCGCGTTAGTATCCATGCGAGGGTTGAGCAACTTTCATCACGGCACAGTGCGTCGATCACAATTTGAATACACAATCACGTGAGCACTCGATGTGAATTTGATCGTAGTTGTCGATATTGAGGTGTAACGTCACTGCGGTTTGCTACGCGCTACGGTGCTACGAGAGCTGAGCGACGCGACGCGACGTCTCGTAGGCGTAGCGCGGACTGCGACGGCTGCCCCGGCCCACGCATGCGCGCCGCCCTGCGTACGGATGGATTCGCATAATGGTCGTGTCAAACCTTCCCCTAACCCCGATCGGTTATATCATTTGGTAACGAAAAGATCGACAAATTGCGATTAGAATAGCCCCCTGCACCGGGCACTGAACTCGAACAATGAGATCATTTGGTAATTAAATATAAAATCGGCGGCTTAATAGACTTGCGGCGAAATCATTGTGCACATTCGTATTCAACAGTTGAATGACGATGAGGATCGACGCACGTATTTATTGTACCGCTACATTTGCGATGGAATGGTTTATTGATTATTGTTAAACGTTAATTGCTTTACTTCGTTTAATGTTTAATGCAGATGTTTTATGTCAGGCTTTTGATTTATAATATCGAAAACTGTACATTGTAGGACTGCTATGGCTCTATTTTTTTATGACTATGGATATAATCGTATCAGATTCGATAGCAAAGACGTTAGCTAACACTATTTCCCCTGAGATTAGAGGGCCCCGTCCCGAAAATCCCCTTGCACATCTGACCCCACTTTCTAGAGTTGCAGTGGAGCAACAAACCGAATCTATTCGCACCTTTTCTATCCTTAGGGGAGCGGGTATCGCATCCAATCCTCTATACAAGTATTGACGAAGATTTATACTATAATGTAGTGAATAAGTCATCCCCTATTATAAATAAGTGATTATGCCCATGAAACCACAATGTGGGATGAGTACAAATAGCTAAAACAAATATTTATTCAAGCAAAGAAATAATGAGACAAGTAAAGCGCTTAGCGACCAATAATTTAATTATAGAGTTTGAACCTTATGAAATTGTTTATTAAGAAACTTAGGGTGGGTTGCACCATCTTACTTTAACTTTGAAAAACGTCAAAAATGTGTCAAACTCCATACAAAAAACACCGATTATCGTTAAAGTTACGATCAAAGTTAGGTGGTGCAACTCAGCCTTAATGAGAGTAGGTAATTTTAAGCACACGCCTCGAACAATGTTCAAATTACATTTCCCTGAATCGTCAACATCCAAAAATCAATGTAAGTATAGTCACACATCCCCAATTTTCAGGTAAATTAAATTCCGAAAGGCCCGCAAGCCCTTCATCATTCTGTAGACAATGAGCACCACTAATAGGGCCTTGCTTTAGTGTAAAAGCCCTCCATTACTGGGCACGGTTTTTAATTTCCAAATGTTCTTTTGTTTGGCATCTACTATCTCACTATAATAATGAAGCTCGGTGCAGCTCCTACAGTGTTCCGTTGTCAATAGTTCGAGGAGATGAGTAGACTAATGGTGTCTGAAATAATGTTCAAAAGATCTTCGTTCGTTTCAGCCGAAAGACGTCCACTGCTGGACAATGGCCTCCCCCAAGGATTTCCACAAAGACCGGTCCTGCGCCGCTCGCATTCAGGCGCCTCCCGCGACCTTCACCAGATCGTCGGTCCACCTAGTGGGAGGCCTGCCTACGCTACGTCTTCCGGCTCGTGGTGGCCACTCAAGAATTTTCCTGCCCCAGCGGCCGTTGCCCTGCCCACTCTTCGCCACTGCTCAGAAGATCTTATCAGGGCCAAGTGCCATGAATCAGACCTTTATCAAGTTCGCATTAAAAATAGAGCAGCATAAGCACTAGAAGTATAAATTTAGTTTACTGAGATGGAATTCAATGAGAAACTTATACAATAATATCCGATAAGTAGCTCCTTACAGATTTCCAATCAGTTCACAGAAAAGGTTACACTAAACTGATTCGTATTTCAGGTCAATATAATCTCTTCTGTAACTGCAGTTGTCTGTAAGGTATAGGGTTTCTGATTTCTCGACTTATTTTTTTTCTCGAGTTTCGAGAATTCTCGAGGCCAAAGTCTCGAGTTTTCTCGGGTCTCGAGTCTTTTAATGAAAACTGCTGAAATCTGTTGAAATTTAATAAAAACACAGGTTTTTTTAAATCTAATATACGCAACATAATATGCACAACAATCAATATTAAAATTTATTACCACCTATTTTGGTAAGGAAAGAAAAAAAATTTTTCTATCATAATTAATATTTACTAATAATCTTAACAAAAGTCATAAAGTCGCGTGTTGTTTAAGGATAAATAATAATAAAAATCTGGAGCTACAATTGAATGAACACAAGTCCAAATAGCAAAATTACGATAAATAGTTTTTTTTATGAACAATAAAGCTTTTTAATAAATTTTTAAATTTCTTACAGATAACGACTTGAATAAATTTTACGAGGAGACGCGAGTACCTACCTAACCTAACGTCTGTTAGGTAAGGTAACTGTCTAGTTAACAAAATTTTCAATCTTTAAATCAGTCAAGAGTTAAACATACATAATAAATAGGTACCTATACCATGCTCGTTGGTGAACATTATTATTTTGTTTCGATTAAGATCATTACTTGTAAATCAAATCAGTTAAAAAAGGAAAGACTAGGCCAGTCTAAAAGCAATGTTGACCTATTAAATAATTAAAAACTTACTTTTGTCTAAGAAAATAGGCTTTCAAGAATATTAAAGCTTTAAAATCGAAACTCGAGAATTCTCGAGCTCCGGTAATTTTTTTCTCGTCTCGAATGAAGCCAAATTTCTCGAGTTTTCTCGAGTTCGAGAAAGCTCGAGCAGAAACCCTAGTAAGGTACGAGTGTACCTCTATACTCTTCGTCTTGCTGTTCGACAATTATCGAATATTATTTTTATGGATTCGGCTATGATATTAAACTGGAGTTATAGTGGCATTTATTCTCTACTAGCTGACCCGGCGAACTTTGTAATGGCAATAAATAAGCAGACTTTTTTTTTTAATTTCGAACGGGATAAAAAGTATCCTATGTCCTTCTCCTGGCTCTAAACTACCTCCCTGACAATTTTCAGCTAAATCGGTTCAGCCGTTCTTGAGTTATAAGCGAAGTAACTAACATGACTTTCTTTTATATATATAGATTTCACCTTTTCCTCTCCAAGAATACTGAACGAAACGATCTGGCTGTTTTCACCGATCCAGCTTCCCGGTAATAAAAAACGTGCTCTTTCGTTTCCCATTCCTGGGGGCGTTAATGAAAGAATTCCTACGAGTGGGCCTCTTCGGATTAATTTTCAAATGTTTCCAGCAACGGCACGGAAATCGAGGCTCTACGAGGTTGACGAGGTTATTCCTGTGATCCAATTTTTTCGATTGCCCACTTTGGTGACGTGTTTTGAATTTATAAATGTTTAACACATTTTGTTTTAAAACACTTTTTGGAAACGCTATCGGCTGTTTTGCGTTTAAAAAGACAACTTTTAAATCTTAAAAATAGGAATAAAGTAACGTAAACAGCTAAACAGTAATAAGGACAATATTATAATGTTTATAAAACATTGGTTTTATTTTCATCTAAATCTATTGCAGAAGTTTTAACGTCATAAAATAAATTTTCAGTGATTAACTCTCAAGTTAATAGACTTTCCATTTACTTATCTATACTTATAATAAATCTGTAGAGAGGTCAATTCTGTACATGAAATATATTTTCAAAATAACTATCAGGGGGTGATTAGTGATCGATACTGATGCCAAAAATGCAATCAGTAAAATTTTTGTCTGTCTGTCTGTCTGTCTGTCTGTCTGTATGTTCCTTATAGAAACAAAAACTACTCGACGGATTTTAACGAAACTTGGTACAATTATTCTTCATACTCCTGGGCAGGTTATAGGATACTTAGGAATTCCCACGGGAACGGGAATTAGCGGGAAAAAACATTGTATGAAAAAATCTGAACCGCGTAAGATAGATGAAGGGGGGGTAAAACGAGATCCACGCGTACGAAGTCGCGGGCGGCCGCTAGTTTTAAATAAGTTGCTACAAGAGTTTATTACTAATACCCTTAAGAGTATTTGGCTGGTCAACATTTCCCAGTAAACCTCATTATTTTCCAAAAGGTAAATGCAATTTAAATTTTCTCAGAACACCAATATGTAGCGATAAATTAATAAATTATTACGATTCGAATGAAAGTCATAATAAAACTCAAATGATTATTCTGTCTGCATTAATTATTTGTTTTTCAACTTTATCTGTTGGATGAAATGCTCCTGTATTTATAAAATAAAGCCTCATTATTTTCGTAGTGATTTTAAACACTATAATTAATAATAATTTGTAGTAGGTATGTTTATTTTATAATTGTAAAACCGATAATAATCCATTATCACCTACATACAATTCCACGAAAATGCGCTATTTTATTTTCATTTGACTCATAATGGAATACTATCCTAACCGTAAAATACGAGTTCAGAAAAGCCGTGCTATTTCGTGTATTAACTAAATTATACGAGTAGTATCGAGTACCTATTGTAATTAGGGTCAAGGCCATGAAATTTTTTCGTATAACATTAGGTAGTTAGAATGTAGAAGTAGAGTACGTAGAGTAATATTTACTTATGTTCCCTTTCCTAAAAACTTCAATAATTTTTTATATGAATTTTAGGTAGGTATTTACTTAGGTAGATGTGTTGTTACAGTTACCATCTCGATCCTATAATCCCTCAGGTTCAATTTTCAGCAACAAAGCGAGCTAACCTTTGTACAATTTAGCTGTTTTGGATGGTAGCCGCTAGCTAGGTACCGTCACAATGGACTGGCTGAAATTCAGCGAGTTAAAAGCTAGCAGGAAACTCGAGTTTCTATACAAAATACTTGGAACCTATTTTTAAAGAGCGAATACGAAATGGGTAGGATTTTTGCTATGCTTCAGGTACTTTGGAATTTTAAGGCTGAGTTGCACCACCTAACTTTAACGGTAACTATGACGATAACCGGTGCTTTTTGTATGCAGTTTGACAGATTTTTGACGTTTGTCAAAGTTAAAGTAAGGTGATGCAACCCAGCCTAAGAATTTAGCTTTACGAGCTAAAATTGCTACAGTTTCTTGAACTATCAACAAAGGCATGA